AACTAATTATTTAGTTATAAAACCACTTAAAAATATATTTAGAAATATTATTTGATTATTTCCTACAATAAATATATGAATTTTATTATTCTTTATATTAAAAATTAAAGAAATTTTAACATAATTCAAGAATAATCTAAAATTTACTTGAATATTTACCTTTTTCACCTTAATAAAACTTGTTTCTTTTGCTAAATTATAACATATATTATTAGTTAAATATTATCTAATAAACATTTTTAAATTAAAAAAATCAATTTTTTGCATTTTATACAAAAACTATTTGAATAATTACCTTTACAACCTAAGAAATTATTTTTCTCGAGTAAAATTATATTTATTTTAACTGTCAAAATTATACTTTCTTTTCAACTTTTAAGATCTTAAAAAATGTAGCTTTTTAGGACGAAACCTTGTAATTGCAAAAAAAAAAAAAAAATTTTAAAAGTAGCGAATTATTAAGACATTCTATCAATTACCTAATTTGTATAAGCAGTATATGTTAAAAAGTTTAACGGCTAGTTCAAAGTTGGTCGATCGGCATTTTTGATGGCAAATTCTGTTGGTTTGTGTAACCCGAACAGACGCGATCAACCAATAACGTTGATCGTTTTGTTCGATCGACCATCCAAAGATCAAAAGAAAGAGATTCTTTTCATGAAGATCTTGAATTATGGTTACTCGATGAATTCGAACTTGACGAAAAGTATAGACCTAAAGATTATAAAAATTGTGCTGAAAATATTGACATAATACGTGATGGGGAATGGCTCGGTTCTATTGCGGAGTGTAGAAGAAAATATATAAAGAACCAATTAGGTTTGTGCTTTATTTCATTTGAATATTTCGTATTTTAATAAAATTGAACTATTTTCTAACATAAACAAAATATGACTGATCATGATCTAGCTCCAAAAGTGGACAAGAGTAAAGTCTCTTCAGTTGATGATGAACTTTTTAAAAAGCTTATTGATGTTTCAAATAATTTCTGGGAGGAATTTGAAAAGAATTCATTATCTTGCGTATGTCCAGTAATGGTTGATAAAGAGCCAGTCATCGTTGCATCAGTGTACTTACCCGAGGATTCTATAGTTCCTGTAGGTCAACCTGATGCGTGTACGCTAGGTGTACTATTTAAATTAGGATCCATCTGATGATAGATATATACTTACACAAAGCATGGGGTCGGAGATACTGGTAGCAGCCAGGCAGCCTTGATAATGTATGTATTCAATAGTGTTCCGCAAAAAATTTGGTTCGTTAGAATTCAACCTGCAAGAAGAGGCTGGAATGACCACCATTCGATCACGCTTGAATCCGATGTTAGAGTTTTGCGGGACATTAGTACTCAACAAAGTTCTTCATCTTTCTTTTTCTTATAGTTCCCATGCTAACATTTTTTTTGGTGATAAGGGTAACCTTACACATAATTGTGCTATAGTATTGAACAAGTACAAACGCTTATTACACCTGATGGTACAAGAACCGAGTTTAATGGTATATAAAAGTTTGCTTAATTTATACCAAATAGATTCATATTCTATATCTCATTTTACCATTCTATTCTGATAGAGGATCAAGCTCTCTTACCAAAGATTAATTACGAGCCACCTTCAAGGAAATTGCTTCGAATTTGTTTCATTATTTTTTCATCTTTTATCGTACCGATATTTTTTCGCTTTGTAGGAAACACGTATGTTGATATCGCAACTATTTTTGTTGTAACTTGTATGGCAGTATATTTGCATGAAAGAGAATACTCAGAAAGAAATCGTAATATTGTATGACGGGTTTAAACATAATAAAAGACATATTCATTATTGTTTAAATTACATATGGAAACACTTGCAAAAAAACTCGTAGATTCTTGTTGCGTTTCTGGATTACGTTAAGAAAAATACTTCTTGCTTTCATTATATGCCCCGATGGATGGATTTATTGCGCTAGCCCTTACCGATATTATAACAGTATTAATATGTATTTCTTTAAATCGTTATGTATGTAGAATTTCTCGGGAATTTTCCGTATGATAAAAATTAAATAACCGCAGTAAATACATTATGCGCAGTAAACGTCACATATGTTTATTTTTAGAGGCAGAGTCGCTATTAATAAGTTCGTCATGATTTTTTTCCCGAAAGTTCTGGCATTATACACGCATATACGAATCTTTGAATCAATGTTAATGATTTGCACGGATTAATTCCCCTTGTTGTTCCAGGACATGATCCCATTGTCTATTATTAATATCTGTTGATCTGATTAACAAATTTCTTGAATATGAGACGGGGTGAAATGTTATCATAACGGTAACAGTGAATCAGAGATATTGCATTTCTTATTTTTTTTTATCTCAGTTGCTAATCCCCCGAATTTATGCTTCGAAATTATTTAATCTTGGGGAAGTTCTCTTGCGGGAAATAATTTTTTACCGTGTGGGTGGGAGTGATATATAGGGACAAATCCATGAGAATGGCAAATGATCGGAAGTTATCTATCTCTTTATGGAAATTGGCATGATACCGATCAACCGATCAAGATTCATCTCATCTGATCGATATCCTAAAAAAATTTTGCTTTCAGATATTTTATCGATATTACACTTCAAACTTTAAAATAACTTCTGTTTGATACTCATTCTTAAGAGTTTCTTTGAATCTTTCAAACTCAAACTTCGCGTCTATGTATAATTTTTCCTTAGATTGTTACGCTTTCTGGACGGTTAATTTTTCGTATTTTTCGCAAATAAAAGTAAAAAGATGCACTTGTCATCTGAATGTCTCGAAGATCTTAAATACCTCGGTAAGACAAACCGTATGTGTTTCCTTGTGACAATATAACGAATATAGCGTAACTTATTGTTCGTAAAAATATGTAGTCTTTTGGGAACAATCGGAGGAGCCATCACTTATGAAATTCTTAAATTTCCGATTACACGCACAAGATTTGGAAGATGAGGTGACGGAGCATAACCGGTACAAAAATGAACTGAAGGCTATAAAGAAGCATTATGACGAAACATCTGACGTCGGGCAAAAGGTGATAGGATGGTTAAAAGATTTCAAGGTATCATTCATTTATCACAACAATATATAGTTCTTTATATCTTAGCGTTGTGGGAGTGTGAGGCATGAGGCATTGTTTGATGTATATAATTCACGGACTACTTTGCGGACTGCTCGTTCGTAAGGGAAAGACTGCTTGTTTGTTTGGGAATTATAATAGTATGCAGTAATTCACGGACTACTTTGCGGACTGCTTGTTCGTAGGGGAAAGACTGCTTGTTTGTCTGGGAAGACTGCATGCTAGTGTAAGTATGCAATAATTCACGGACTACTTTGCGGACTGCTCGTTCGTAGGGGAAAGACTGCTTGTTTGTCTGGGAAAGGTTACTTACTTGTCTGTGGTTGGACCTATGTTCTTCCTCATATGCAAAGCAGAATAGTTTGTCACTAACTCATTATTTTTTTCAAGAATGATAAGAATTCGAAACAGATAAATCATTTTTGGGTTCTACAAGTGAAGAGGCGAAATATTTCTATAGAGATGAAATTACTTGAGGAGAAAAGCAAGTTGCTTAAGAAGCAACAAGTAGGTTATCTTCGAAATTTAGCAATTTTTGTTTTGATACATTTTTTAATATCTACAATCAATCTACAAAAGAATGTACTAGAGAACGAAATCGATCTTGAACAGGTTAATTTATTGATTTGACTCTTCATTACGCTTAATTTTGATGTTGGCATGCTGAAAGTCCATTGGTATTTTAGACCCGACACATTCTAGACACGACAAAAGAAACCCGAAATCAGGGTATTTTACTGCAAAAAGAAGTTACGAAAAAGATTGAAAACCGCGTGACTGGACATAAGCGAGCTCGTGAAGAAAAGACAACTGAACCACCAAAAAAGAGAACGTCATCAGGAAAAAGGGTCGGTATATAACTTAAATTTTTTCCGCAAAAAAACCTTTTACAGAAGGTAATCGAGTTAATTCCTTTTAGGGGGACACATTTCCTGATGGCACAAAAATCGCAAAACCAGCTCCAATAAACCTTACACCATCAGAGGAAAGTGATGACGGTAATTCATCATTAACGGTAGATGAAAATGATGACAGCGATAAAGATGATGATGAAGAAGATACTCCTGATCCCGATGAGGTTTTCAATTCCTATTCTAGAAACTCGCAGAATTGGAGCCTGCCTTCAGGAAAAACTGTTGAAGGTATCTTCTCGATGAATGTGTCTGAATATTTGAAAAGATATAAACAGAAGAAAAGACTGACACTCGTTGAAAGGGCTGTCTTACGATATGGTGCTTCGAGACTTATCGATCTTTCGGCTCACATGAGAGCTTGGTTTACAAATAACGATAGACATTCCATGACAAAAAACTATGAAGACATGCTCAAAGTTCCGGAGCTTCCTGAAGATATCAATATGTTTATTTCGACGATTGAAAAGGTAGATACATTTATAAGAATTTTTTTTTGGGTCATTGTTCACTCTTTATTTCACACTTTCATTTTTACAGAAAGTATGCCAAGGTGATCCAGAAGCTGTCTATAAATTATGCATTGATAAGCATGCTTGTTCGCCAATGAATAGCTGTATCCACCAGATCAGCAAAATATACGCTGAATTGTGGGTATTTTTTTAACCTATTATGATTTGTCTACGAATTGTAACTCATTTTGTCTGTTCATAATATGTATGAAGTATTTATAAAACCATGGATGGGAATGACATATTGGATTGTGACGCCATAGGTCACACAGAAATAGATATAATTGTCAAGGCCTTTTCATTTATCATCGACGGACTGAATAAGGGACTTGGAATAAGGCAAAAATGGTAAATCAAGCATAATTTTCAGCTTTTGTGACCAAATTATTGTATAATTCTTTTAACTGTTTACACATTTATGTTTATTAGGGGGGAATCGTTTTGTCCTCAAAGCAAATCGGCAATTTACCATAAATGTCGAAAATGCGATGTGCGTTTCCTAACATCAACGGGGATGGATTTGGGGGAGTGGGAATTCGCCGTACGTGCAACCGATGCAAAAACAATTTCTGATCGATGTCGATCTGGCAGGATTAATCAGACGATCCTAAATGGTTTGCTCAGACTTGAATGGAACAATGAACAAGCGGAATTAATAAATGTACCCTTTATGCAGTTCGCTGGGGTCAATGGACAAATGTTAATAGAGGACTTAGTAAATGGATTTTATGTAGTCTTCCCTGGACAAAAATTCCAACTTCCAACTAAGCTTTGCCAGATTAAAATGTTAAAGCCAACAATAAAAATTACAAAATATATCATGGTATGTATGATCCATTATCTTTCTCTCTGTTGTCAGAAAGGCTTATGCATCTAATTATGTTAATTATTTTGAATAGGATATGTACAGCAAAACAAATGATTTGATAAATAGCTTGGAGACCGGATATCATGCATTTGATGGTATCTTCAATATTGACGAGCCTGACACAATATCACATTGCAAATTTAGAACCCGTGATCCGTGGTGGACCAAGAAGCAAACAAACAAAGATAAAAAGGATATGGAAATGTAGGATAGTTGGTTTGACCGCTTAATCAAAGCGGTATGACTTTAATATATGCGTGATGTGTAGTGTCATGTGCTTCGATATATATTTTAATTCTATATCTGTGCATATTCCGGTTTTCGTATACATTTACTTTATTCCGAAATTCTCTATTGTGGAGCTATGGCCAATGTATAATATGTAGAAACCACAAAACATAAACTTATTTCAAACCCACACTGTAATCCAAAAACTTTATTAAGTCCAGACCAAAATTTCTAGTGTCCGGCATATTGTAATAATTAGGATCACTTCTTAGCAATGCAACATATAGCCTGATATGGTACACAGGTTTATCCATATCAAACTTCAGGTTATGTATTTCCGTTTTCTTTCGCTTAAAGTCTGCCCATTCTACCACATTGGGGTTATATTTCACCCAAGATTCATAGTAATGAACCTTTTTATCATATGCCAACATAATTCATCCCCCATAATTCGGGATCTTCCATTATATTGTATAATAAACATGTTGGGCTGTATAATAACATTTGTTTCATTTTTTGTGACAAGAGATTTTACAGGTTAGTTTGTAGTTCAAGGAGTAAAATGTTTCATGTCCATATGTAAATAGCCTGCCATGCATTAACCCAAACTCTATATAAATCCGCATTTTCACAGGCTCGAAGCTTAGCATCGAGGGAGAATATGATTTTTTTTCTCTGTACCGTATATCCTGAGGAAGCGTAGCTTTGAAGGGAAAAAAATGAATCGCACAAATGCATTTAAAGTTTCGAGTTTACTCAATTAGACCCAATTCTCGAAGATGCTCTGGAATAATTACATATGGGTCTTCGTAATACCAAACATACCTTAAGGCAATCCGGTTTTCTTCGCATAATTCTTTCTTGAGTTGATCTCGTTCCTGCTGTTTGATAAAGTTATTGGGATCACCTCTATGAAAGAACTTATTAAATTTTTCGTGTTGCTCCCCTTGGACTTCAATGGCAAAACCATAATCATAATACGGAATATCAAGCTCTAATCCTTGATAATATTTAGGTGTTTTTAAGAAATCAGGTCGGCGTATTTTAGATGGTGGTCCAAGATATTTTGATACTATTTCTCAACATAGTTTTTCTCTTTTATATTTCGAGCAGAATGAACACCACGAGTTTGAATGTTTATCATTGCTAAATAATGCAGTCCATAAATGTCCTTCAGCACATTTTCATAATAAAGCTGAACGACTATTAGTAAAATATTTGGAAAAACATGTTCCATTTCTATTACATGCCAATTGCTTTGCATTTTCGATAGTAAGAGGTCTATTATCTGCACAATGTGTGCACCATTTCTTACCATTTTTTATATTATTAAAAGATGCATTCCACTCATGTCCTTCGAAACAATGCCATTGCATTGGAGTATTAGTATTAATGTATTCAGTAGAAATACATAGCCCATTTCTATTACATGCCAAGTGTGCAAGACTTATTATTTGCGCAATATGGACACCACGTCTTATGATTTTTTATACTATGTAAAGTTGTAGTCCAAACATGACCTTCGTACACTGCCATTGCATTGGAGTATTGGCATTAATGTATTCAGTAGAGATACATAGCCCATTTTTGCTACGAACTAGTTGCTTTGCATTTTTGAAGTAAGAGGTCTATTACCTGCGTAATGTGAACACCATCTCTTACCATATTTAATGTTACAAATAGTTGCAGTCCATTCATGACTGTTTGCACATTGCCATTGCATTGGGGTACTAGCATTAATATATTTAGTAGAAACACATATTCCACCACGCTCTTTGGCAATTGTAAAAGCATTATCTAATGTCAACCTTTTCATTGATTCTTCAATGAAAAAATCAAAACTTTAATTACCAGATAATGGATCCCAAACTGATAATATCACTTGTGATCATGAAAAAGAAAACAATTGCTGAGTCATGAATGAACTTAAAGTGTTCCGCCACCTGCTTGATTATAATATAAGAACTTTTGAAAAATTCATGCAAGACATAGAAAGGGAATATAGAGAGCAGATTAGTATGAATAAGAAATTGTAATGTGAAAATGAGGATTTGAAGATGCAGTTACAGGAGGCGGAAAAAGAGCTGGCATCTATGAAGTCAAATTCTATTCATTAGTGAGAATTTGGTCCCAACTGAGTTATATCTTATGTGGATGCTCACGAGATACAGTTAGATCGAAAACAATGAATTTTTTCTCACATAATGCTTTATCAATAATCTTAATCACACTACGCCAGTCATTAGCATATTGACACACAATTCTGACTAGCTCACCTGTAATGTACGATCTATTAAATAGGCAGACATGTGTAAGATTTTTTTGTATTATTTTTGGGCAATCAAAGTAACTCTGGGATACATATATTGAACTGACATTGTAATGGCGCCCTTCGATGAAATAAGGAATAATTTTCTCTTGCATTTTCTTTAGATCAGCACATATATCTTCAAATATAACTACTATATCTCTGTCTGAAGAAAATGAATCTACCTTAGAAATCTTATTAGACTTCAAAACCCAGAATGTAATATTTTCACGATATGGCTTTGGACTGTTAGCAATTATCTGGAATGCTGTTTTGAGGTACATATATTTCAGCTCTTTGAGTTGGTGGCTGATGAGTAGTAAATCATCATTCTTGATATAGCGTGTCCTTCCTTCTTCTTATTAAACATTCCATATAGCTTAGTTCTGAGCATAAGATTAAGAACCTCATTAGTTTTTCCTAAATTGGTACGGCCAAAGATGCCCAAAGTGAAAGACCATTAGGGACACTCAAATATCCGTTATATTTTTTGGCATCTTACATCTCGTTGATGTGATATATAAGCCTATCAACCAGTTTAAGTTTATTTATTTTCATATCAATGGAATATTATTAATGATGTACTAAAATAATTCCTTTTAATTCTTTTGTATCTTTCAAGAACCCTTTTTCGATGAGAGTATGTCTGATATAGGACAGGAGATCAGCTGTATAGGGAACTTCAATAAGACTTATACCTTGCTCCTTGCATATATTCCACTTCTTCTGATCTCGTGATTTTTGTTCATCTAAATTTATATCCCCTCTCTTATAGAACATTGAATTAAGAATATAATGTTATCGATCATGAAATTCAAATGCTAGTTGTAGTTTTTCGTTATATTCATCAAGTTGCATTTCATTCAAAAATGATAGTCTACAGGATAGGAATTTTTTGTCTAGCAGATCCTCGAAAATATATTGAGAATTGTGTTTACCCTAGTATGATAGCATAGAGGGCACTACTCAAATTTTTTTATGATGTATTTTAATAGATATTCCCATTGATGTATACCATTCTCACAAGACCAAAGATATATATTATGTCCATTTATTTTTCCAGTCTTTCCTAGATATTGACCACCACGTCTTTGAGCATAACCAATGGCTTGGTTTAACTTACTATTGATAAGAGAAACATGAACGAAATTTACAGATAATATACTTTGAGATATATACCTAACTTTTTCTGGATCAACTATTAACATGAGTTCTTCTTTCACAAACCCGCGAGATAGTGCAAATTCTCCATCCAGATAATATAAAACTGGCTCATTCTTTATTACTACAATTTTCCAGATTTTATGAATAGAAGGTAAGTATGTAGGATCAGTGATTCTCTTTTGATTCTCCATTCCTCCTTCCTATTCTGCAATAGCAAGAAGATATCAAACAGTATCACCTTTCTTTAACGTTATTTCATCTTTCCCAACTAAGCACTTATATTTTGTAGATGGTCTTGATTCCACTTTTTCTAACATGATAGCTTTTATAGGTGCAAAACCCAATTTCTTAGTCCCTGTTCTCAAATAAGACATGTAAGATAATTATTTAGATAATCAATAATCATTTGCAAATGTCTAATCCATACTTTTATTAATTTTGAATTGGAATATATAGATTCAACAGCATCTTGGATTTTATAAAGTATTTTTGTGAGTGTCTGGTTAAAATGTTCTAGAAAAGCTACTGCTTGATAAGAATATGGACCAATCACTCGAATAGTAACATTATGCTCCTTCATCAATTGAGAAGTCTTTTCCATAAATTTATGACCTCTATCACATTGTAAAAGCTATGGCAATACAAGTGGATTATTAGGATCATTATATATTTTTCTGAATGCTCTAACAACTTTTGAACTCTTCTTCAATGTGAGTAAAACAGAAGCCTTATTTTGGGAAGCATGGTCTATTATATTAAGCACTGCTATATATTTTTTACGCTTATAATGATCATGTGTAAGGAATAATAAATCACATTAGTATACGCAATTTGGGCGTGTTATTCGGCTATAGCTACATCTAGAAATATTTTTCGGAAGAGTTTTATGTATTTGGTATATATGTTGCCATTTTAAAAAATCATGGCATTCTTTTAGGTAGAAATGATGCACTTCTTTTTTATATGCATCTCTTAAGGATTTAGGATTAGAATAATACCCAGTTAGGCGATAATATATATCACGTAATATAATATTTTTTTGATTTTCTGGACCTCATCAGGATCTATTTAGATTATAGGAACTCTTGCTTCTTTACTCATCCTTTTCTCATCTCTCAAAAAGATAGAACTATCTATAAAAAAAGATAAAATAGCACTGATATCTAAAAATGAAGTATATGAGAATCAGATACAATTCCTAAAATGCGATTTATATCATAGTGAACTAGAGATATCTCGATTATATAAAATAAAAGAGATCTTAGAGCGGGAGTTATCTGATCTATAAAGCCAGATAATAGCGTTAGAGATAAAAATACATAATCTGAAAAAGATTGCAGAATGTAGATTGCTATTTATAACTTTTCGAGAAGATCAGATATCGGAAGAATTATCTAAGCTTTATGAAGAGATATTTTGGCTAAAAAATAGGATTAGTGATCTTATTATAGCCTCATCGAGTAATATACCTGGTCCTAGAAGGACCCCTTCAATACTATTAATAAGAGATTTTTCATCGTTCTCATCATCCTCATCATCAAGGCAATCAGATCAAAATCAGCCTTTATCAAGCAATATAGCTTCTGGTTCATCGGGTGCATCAGGAATACAAGAACATACATATGAAATAGATAAATGTGAAAAAATTAATTATCATGCTACTATCTGGGTAAACCGTTTAAAATGGGTAGGATGTACTGCTGATAATTAAATAATTTTACGCAGAGTTTGGGATTTGTTAAAAAATCTTGAAGACAATCTTTTACAAGCTGAAAGAACAATAGCTGAGTGTGATAAAGAATTACAAGATACCCAAAATGCTTTGAAATATGCAGAAACCCTAAATGGGATGTTACAAGAGGATCTTGCTAGAATAACATAAAAGCCTCATTCACTTTCTGGTGGTTCTTCTAGTGAGAGAATTTCTATTAGAATATTACAAGAAGAATTCGATTGATCTATTGGGCATTATTGCAATTTGAGTAAGCAACGTGATGATGATTTATCAGCTAGTATTCCATCATTAATACTGCCTTCAATAGAGTCAGAAGAAAACTTATCTCCTCAAGAGATTCACCGATTATTAGAGAAAGAGCATGAGAAAACTTTAAAGGCTATAGGCATTGCTAATACTGTGGAAAAAAGTGTTCAAGAATTGACACAAGTCATATATGGTGGAAGTCATTCTCCTCCTCCTCCTAAAATGTCAAGTTCTCGTTTAGAATTTGATAATGAGATTTTAGGTGATTTAGAGGGTATTATAGATGAAAAGAAAGATTCTATGCCAGATTTCCCATTCTATAATGAAGATATAGGAGCTATTAATATTAACTAGAAGAGGAGAAAGCTAGATTACTTCGAAAAAATACTTATCTTATTTTTATTTCTCAATTTCAGATTCGCAAGGCTAGGACAGCACAAGATTTATGGTTGATACAAGGAGAGATAATCATCAACTGAAATCTCAACTGCATGAATGTCAAGGTGATATGGGGTACTAGAATATAATTGAGATTGGCTTTTTGATAGATATGAGAAGTGGAAAAATAAGACACATGAAGAACGTCAAATAATATTTAATTTATAAGGAGAAATTTTAGCATTACAGAATAAT